TCATCAACGTTTTCTTCTTCATCAAAACATATATCTTTAACATTTTTTATTCACGAGTTCCAAAGGACCACCAAAATTCATCTTGTCCTTTTCATTAGACAGTTCTTTGATTTCATTTTCATGAGCCTTCAGAATGTTGTAAAGATATATAGAGAATATGAATCAAAGTTCTCTTGTGTCTAAATCATCAAACAAATATTCCTCCATTCTTTCCTTAAACCCTAAATAACCATATGAACAACATTGTATGTTGAACATTTGTAAATCAGATTGTTAAATCGATCGTAATAGGCTTCAATCGATTATGATTCCTTCTGTTTGAATTCAGACAATTCAAACAAGCATTGTTTCACTAAACTCTTTTTGGTACGTTCATTGCCTTGGAACTTCTCCTTCAATGTGTTCAATATCTCCTGAGTAGTTTTGCGTCCTCAAATGTAATTGTAAACAACTTGTGGTAAAGCTCCACACAAGTCACGAATACATCTTTTGTCAGTTGCTTCCATCTTCCTTCGTGTCATGGTGAAATTCTAATCTTGAGCAACAGTACCAACAACTTCAACCATCGAAGCATGAAATGGACTATCTGTGATTGAATGCCATAAATTTTAATCTATGCCATTGAGATAATCTTCCATTCAATCTGCCCACTGATCATAATACACTAGAAGCAACATTAGGGTTTTTGTTAAACAACCGAGAAGATTAGCAAAAGTCCATCATTGTGTTAACGTTCAAGTTAGCCATGGAATTGATCGGAAAAAATGTAAAACTTGAATAGAAATAAAATCAGATTCAATTGATTGATTCTCGATTGCAGAATCGACAAATCTCAAAATATTGTTTGAAGAACAACAGTTTTCAAATGCGGAAAAAGTAGAGTTCAAAAGAAATGAATCAATAGATGAAAACGAGAAAGAAATTCCTCAAACAATTTGAAGATTCATGCTCTGATACCAATTAAAGAGTCAAGAATTAAATCAAGTATCGATTTCAAACAAAAATATGAACACAAAGAAGTAAATAAATCTACTTCAACTCCTATTATCTTGAAGGCAAGCACAGTTACAAGTGTGAGAAGTAAAAGTGAGAAGCGTACAAGTAACCTATGCTACAACACTATTTATAGTGCAACCAATAGATACAAAATATATTAAGAGACTTCGACATTAAGTACACCGATAAAATGCTCCTAGACATATATAGATATATCGAAGTCACGTAAACTTCGATATAGACAGCTACACTATCATTGACATTACAATACATGACTTCGCATAAGAATATCTTCGCAATATTAACTCTACAACGTCATCAAGGTCTAAGCGAACAACAAAATTCAATGTAAGACAAAGAGCCTTTTTGTGTTTTGAAATTAATATTGCAATTATAACATACAAGCCATTTTTTTATTTTAGAAATTATTAATCAAGTTTATCCCAAAGATCCTTAGCAGTATCATTATCACTTGAGATGATTTGAAGAAGGTTTGGTTCACAAGTGCACTAGAACCATGACTGACATGTGAATCACTAGATTCCAAATCTTCGTCAAAACCATTAGATGGTTTTGATTTTTTAGTGATATGACCAACAACTTGTGCACCTTTTCATATGTCAAGAAATATATGATGCCATAGTTTCTACTTAGAACCATCAATAGTAAGTTTAAAATTGAAATGAAAATAAACATATTTGTGATAGAGTAACAAGTTAATGTTTAGAAGGAATCGAAGAAGATGAAGTAGCAGGTGTCCACCTAATGAAAAAGGAAAAAGGGATGGGAAACCTAATGAAAAAGGAAAAAGGGATGGGAAATATAGGAAAAATAAATGAAACATGAAAATTAAAACAACGGTGAAGGATACTTACCACAATAGGAATAATCATAGTGTTCATATATAATTCCAAACCTTCAAGGGACGCGTGTCGTCTATTGTGATCACAATGAAGAAAAGTGTGACCAAGAAGTGCTATAAAAGGCGGATGGAGGCTGTTATATCTTGTGTGTAGACTGCCAGATGCATGCAAGGTGGAAAGAACGACAAAGGTCATCATTGTTCAAAAGATTGCCGAACAAATTTAAGTGACGATAGTCGGAGGACTACTAGTTAGATGATAACAGAAGGAAGCAAAAAACCTTATTGTCTCGCTACCATGTTGCAATATAGAAATAATCAACGTAGGGTTTATGTTGCAAACATAGTTGTAAATAATATAGATATATAATTAAAAAGTATAAAAAAAGAACTAAACTATACAATATTATAACTTAACAAGCTACTTGAGGGAAATAAAATAATAACCACCGGTTAGACACTTGTTTCATACTTCTCAAGAAATATGACAATCAACAAAAATATGATTCTCATTTTAGGACCATTTTGACATAACAAAAAATTAGAATCAAATCTGATACCTAACTTGAATAAAATTCTTAAAGGTAGAAGTCTTCCATGCTTCATTTACCAAATCGGGATATTGAGCTTGCTTGGTACAATCTAGTTCCAAGCCTAGTAATCAAGTTCCAAGCCTAGTAAGTTAGGGTTACAGGAAGTACTAAGTACTGACTAATCAATATAGTAGCATAAAGAGGAAATTTGTGTGATTTAGAATTGTCTAATGATGTAACATAGATAATCATTACAAGGTCGATCGAGTTGTAATCTCATATTTGTGTTTCGATGCTGCTAGCGAACCTTGATTTGATACTTAGTACACTGATCAATAAGATCGTTAGAGTTACGATAGGACTTACGTCCCGGGAGTGGCCTCCTACAAACAAGTTAGTATCGTTACGAAATATGGGACAGATCCTTGAGTAGAAGGAAATAAACTATATGTATGTGCGATCTGCGATGTGTATAAGAGAGGTTTTTTTAGCATAATTGGATCCTGATTATGTGTATTGAGAGACGCATATATAGTCGTGAGTACCTTCTACCTTGGGGAAGAAGCTAGCAGTTGTGCATTGGGAATAAGCTTCATTAACACCTGTGTATTGGGAAGGACCGCCATAGTGCTAGACAAATGGAATGTGGCAAAAACATGTTTGGTCGAATGGCAGAACCGTGTTGGCTGAACGACATAATCATGTTGGCTGATCAGCAGGACCATATTTGGCCGAACGTTATTGGTTGAACCATATTTGGCAGAACTATCTGGTCGAACTATGCTGACAGAACCATATTTGGCCAAACCATGTGGGCAGAACTATGTTTGGCCGAACCATATTGGCAGAACTATATTTTGCCGAGCCATGTTGGCAGAAGCATATCTGGCCGAACCATGTTGGCACGTACCATGAAAACGGTCCAATAAGGGATATATACCAATATCTAACAATAAAGACCATGTTCCATGTTCAAGTGGATAAAAAATGATTAGAAAGGTATATTTAAATGATAGAAAGCCTATCATTTAGAAATGATGTATTTAGATCGTAAAAAATCTATGATTTGGAGTTGTCTAACTAACAAGACCATTGTTCTTATCAGACAAAAAATGATTTCAAGGGTATCACTACCAGAAAATTAAGTAATTACGTACAACAGTATTGGTAGGAAATCCGTAGAAAAACGGCGTTACCTACAAACCTTTGTGGGTCATTTTTTCCTACAAATTAGCTACAAACCTTCCTACCCATTTCCTACGGAATATTCAGTTACAAATTTCACTACGTAATACCTACGTAACACGTTAACTACGGAGTACCTACAGATTACCTACGAGTTATTTACCTACGAAACACCTACAAAATACATACGGATTATTTTCCTACAGAATACCTACAAACTGATTTTCCTACAGAATGCCTACCAACCACTTTTCCTACAAAATACCTACCAACATATTTTCCTACAGAATACCTACTAACTGATTTAGCTACAGATTACCTACAGACTTTATTGTATTTTATTTACTACAGAATATTTATTTCCTACAAATTTTTTATGATTTTTTTTACCGGTTTTTATTGCTAAAATAAATTTATAATACCTACAGAATATTTATTTCTTACAATTCAGTCAAAAATCTATTGCTATATTAAATTTATAATTTAAAAAATATCCAAATTTTCTACTAAAAAAACGAACAAAAATAATTAAAATAATAGTCAAATACCATTACATTTATTAACATTAAAATAGTCAATAACATATCATTCATACATTCAAATACTCAAAATACCATTGCAATATCATGACAAAAGCTAAGAACTAGTCAATAATATAACATTCATTAAGTGTTTTAAAACAAAAACTAAGAAATACTTGGTAGATTATCGGACGGATTGATTTGTTTCATAAAGGCCGCCAATTGTCGTTGCACTTGCAATTCCATTTCATTTCGTATTTATTGCATTTGCAAATCTATTTGACTTTTCTTTTCATCCATGGCTTGTTGCATGTTTGAAACTTGTTGTCGCAACTCATTTACCTAAAAATAGCAAGACAAACACATGCAGTTAGTAAATGTAATTCCACTTTAAACCATGATAGCAATGTACTTTACTTTTAATTTAATATAAGAACACACTACTCATAATAACAATGTACATTGTTTTTAATATCCATAATAATAACTTTTAATATGCATAATAATAACATACTATATTTTTATCCATTATATCATTGTACTTTACATTTCCAATCCATAATATCAGTGTACTTAAATTATTATCAATAACAATAATTTACTTTACCTAATATCAATAATAGCAACATACTATAATTTTCACCCATTATAGCATTATGTTTTACCTAATTTAATAAAAGCAACATAGTATCATTTTCAACCATAATTGCAATGCACTTTATCTAATATTAATATTGGCAACATATTTCAATTTTCACCCATAACAGCAATGTACTTTACCAATATCAACATACTTTTTTCATCCATATTAGGTACCTCTTTACTTTTTTTCTCTATAAAATATTATGCGAATAACTGTACCTCCTGTTGTGACTTTGCAAAGTCAGCAAAGCTGAAGTTGACTTAGAAGAATATGCACCCGTCATCAGAAAGTGAAGATCTGAGGATCCTGCCCCATAGATAGGACCCTTTTTGTTTCCCGCCTTTCCTAATCAACTGTGTTTGGGTCCATAATTCAGGATCATTCACATTATGTTGAGTCGGATCTTCACCATATTTTTGAGATAGGGCTTTGTTATATGATTCCTACAATATACCAAAAGAACGCTTTTGTCATTGTACTAAAAAGTAAAAACTAATATTAGTAAAAATATATAGACAACTTACGATGGCCACCCTAGATGTCTCATTCACAAAATCCACCGGTGCCTCTTTATCACCCCCAAAATATATTTTCTTTGATTCGGCGGTAAGATGTGTCTTATAATAAAGATCAATGAACGAGGGATCTTCACCCGTCAACTCTTTCTATATAATTGATGTAATTAGTGTTGAAAAAAACATATCACTAAAATCTATATTTATGATTACTTACCAATTTATGATGGTGCTCCTCAAATCCAATGCTACCACCCGTATGTCTGGATACCCCCCCCCCCCCTCCCAGAATCAGTGCTACGGTTTTTTTTTCCGCTTTTGGACAACTTTTTCAACTCATCCGTGTCCTATTTCTGTAATATATATATATATATATATATATATATATATATATATATATATATTATATATATATATATATATATATATATATATATATATATATATATACATACAGAATAAAAAACAACAAAATAAGCAATAATGTATTAGATCCCTTACCCTACACAAACGTCGCCAAACATCTCTATGTATTTCATCAAGATTGTAATTTGCAAGAATCTCAAAGTCATCACTAATCTTTGCGATAACGTGCCCAACTTTTCTTGCAGAATTTGTCGATGCTTTCCTGGCATCCTGCATTCTATCCCTGTAGCGATCTTTCAGCGTATTCTCGAAACCTTCAAGAATTCTCCCTTCTTCATTTGGATCCCACCGGTATTGAGTCTGCAAAAAAATAAAAAGTAAAAGTTTAAAATGCAAAATAAGAATGAATGAGAAATAGATATTGAAAATAAATAATTAATATATTACCCTGAAACGCTCAAAAATTTGAGTGACAACTCCCAGCGGAATTTTTCTATAAGTAATCCAAGGTTCATTTACAGACTGCCAAAATATCTTTAAGATCGCCCGATGAATTTTTTGTGTCCCAAACATACAATACTGAAATAACCATATAAGTATAATTATAACATCAAAAATCATAAATTTAAAAAAAAAAAAAAAGACTTACTTGTACCGCTTTCGTGTGATAAATGGCCTATGAGAGCCATTCGAATCTACATCATTTGATCCACCTTGCGTACCCAAATAATCGGGTGTCTGAAGCATTGGTGACTCAGGCTCATGCTCATGCACATGCTCATGCTCATGCTCATGCTCAGGCCCATTATATAAAAAATCACTAGCAGGCTCTTCATTGTTGTGTGTCATCCCATAACCATATACAGTACCATTCCCAACATTCTATACCACTCCTGTATCTGCTATAGCATCAGTCAAGCCCATGTGGGTATTTATGGCACCCATGCTACTACTCCCTGAGAATATCGGCCTTGTCGTCCTAACTGAAGTGCGTGAAAGGCCACCCGCCAAAGGGATGCGTGGAAGGCCATTAAGACCGGGCGATGACCTGGATCTCGATGCTGAACCACCCAAAAAAGGGTTGTGTTGAAGGCCACTAAGGTTAGGAGATGACCTCCCTCCCGATACAAAACTGCCCGTAAAAATGTTATGTGGAAGGCAACTAGGATCGGGCAAAGGCGATGACCTGGCTCCCAATATAAAACCACCTGTAAGAGCATTGCGTGGAAGGCCACTAGGGTCAGACAAAGGTGATGACCTGGCTCCCTGTATAGAACCACCTGTAAGAGGGATATGTGGAAGGCCATTAGGGTCAGGCAAAGAGGATGGCCTACCACCCGATGGAGGACCAACCGAAAAAAGGTTACGTGCTAGGCCTTTATCCGACATGCTACGTTTATAGAACAAAGATAGTAAGATATATTAGATGATAATGAATAATAACAAATAGACTAGCGTATATATACCATATTATAAATCAAAAATAAAATGTGATAACAAAAATATTAAAGTGTATCATATAACATAAAACAAACTTCTTAACATTCGTCCTCATCTGGATCAGAGTAGTCAAAATAAACTGGTTCGTGTCTATCCTCTTCACATGTATCATCTTCTTGGTTTTCCGCTTCAGAACCCTCACTCTCATCGGAAGATATTTGCTCAAAGTTAGTTATATTTGAGGCTAGGCTCAAACGTTCACTAACATTTACTTCATTCGGTAACTCAAACCTCTCATCAAGATGAAAGAATTCATTTGCGTCTGTATTTCCATCAAGCGCAACTTCCGTTTCAGCTCCGGTGACTTCAGATACCACTATTGGTTTTGTCTTGAAAACCGCCAAAGATCTTTTGTTTCCTTTGTCACTACAGGATATGGTGTATAAAATACTTGTTCCGCTTGTGATGCCAAACAAAAAGGGTCGTTAGTTTGAATACGAAAATTAGGTTTAACATCGACCAATTTATTTTTTTTAACTACTACACCGCGAATATTATCAAACCAAGTGCTTTTGAATAGTACAACAGTCGAGCGCCCAATGCCATAATAGTCAATCTCTAGGATCCCATCCAATAAGTCGTAGTAGTCTAACTCTTCGCCATTATACATCTCCCCCTTCACGCATAGTCCATAGTTATTCGTTTGTTCTTAAACAAAAAGCTATCTATGTTTGTGCTTAAGCCACAATTAACATCATTAAACAAATACATGATATATTAAACATAATAGATACATATGGTGTGTATGTAAATGTGTGTAGTATTTGTATTTGTGTATAGAAAATAACTTTGATTTATATAAAAAAAAGTTTTAAATGAGTAATGGGTTCAAATGGTGCATACGTTTGTATGTAAGTTTATGTTATGTATAACTCGGTGAAAACAAAACAATCAATGTATAATTATGTTGTGAAAAAAAATAAAACGAAAAAAACGACATTTGACCCTTAAAAAATAGAAAAATAAAAAAAGATCGTAGGTAATCTGTAGGTAAATCCCTACGGATTACCTAATGATAAAGGTAATCGGTAGGTAAATACCTATGGATTACCTACGGTCTTTTTTTATTTTTCTATTTTTCAAGGGTTAAATTTCGTTTTTTTCGTTTCCTTTGTTTCACAACTTCATTATACTTTCATTGCTTTGTTTTAACCAAGTTATATATAACATAAAGTTACATACAGACGTATGCATCATTAGAACGCAATACTATATACATAATAAACAAAAAAGCTATCTATGTTTGTTGTTATGCCACAACTAACATCATTAAACAAATACATGATATACTAAACATAATACATACATATGGTGTGTATGTAAATGTGTGTACTTATTTGTATTTGTCTATCGAAAATAACTTTGATTTATATAAAAAAAAGTTCTAAATGAATACATAATGGGTTCTAATGGTGCATACGTTTGTATGTAAGTTTATATTATATATAACTTGGTGAAAATAAAGCAATAAAAGTATACTTAAGTTGTGAATAAAATAAAACGAAAAAACGACATTTGATCCTTGAAAAATAGAAAAAAAAAGGATCGTAGGTAATCTGTAGGTAAATACCTACGGATTACCTACAGATAAAGGTAATCGTTTGGTAATCCGTAGGTATTTACATACGGATTACCTACGGTCTTTTTTTATTTTTCTATTTTTCAATGGTCAAATGTCATTTTTTTCGTTTCAGTTTTTTCACAACTTCATTATACTTTGATTGCTTTGTTTTAACCAAGTTATATATAACATAAACTTACATACAAACATATGCATCATTAGAACGCATTACTATATACATAATAAACAAAAAGCTATCTATGTTTTTTCTTAAGCCACAATTAGCATCATTAAACAAATAAATGATATACTAAACATAATACATACATATGGTGTGTATGTAAATGTGTGTACTTATTTGTATTTGTGTATAGAAAATAACTTTGATTTATATAAAAAAAAAAGAGTTCTAAATGAGTACGCAATGGGTTCTAATGGTGCATACGTTTGTATGTAAATTTATATTATGTATAATTCGGTGAAAACAAAGCAATCAAAGTATATAGTTAAATTGTGAAAAAAATTAAAGGAAAAAAACGACATTTGACCCTTGAAAAATAAAAAAATAAAAAAATAACGTAGGTAATCTGTAGGTAAATACCTACGGATTACCTACAGATAAAGGTAATCGGTAGGTAAATACCTACGGATTACCTACAAATAAAGGTAATCGGTAAGTAATCCGTAGTTATTTACCTACGATCATTTTTTATTTATTTTTTTATTTTTCAAGAGTCCAATGCCGTTTTTTTCGTTTCATTTTTTTCACAACTTCATTATACTTTGATTGTTTTGTTTTAACCAAGTTATATATAACATAAACTTACATACAAACGTATGCATCATTAGAACCCATTACTATATACATCATAAACAAAAAACTATCTATGCTTGTTTTTAAGTCACAATTAACATCATTAAACAAATACATGATATACTAAATATTATTATTTTTAATTGTTTGTGTTTTAAATATGTAAAAACAAAACGATCAAAAAAAAGTTTTAAGACTCAAATAATGAAACATAATAATAACTAGGGAAGGACCCCCGCTTTGCGGGGGTTAGAAAGTGTTCAGTTGTAAAACATACAGTTGTTACAGATACAGGTAGATACATGTTACAAACATAACTTCTTGTTTCCACTACTTTACTAATTTTAAGAATAGATTCCTGCCTATCAACTACTATTTCTCTTGGATATGAAAAGTGACTAATAGGAACATTGGAAAGATTGATTCCATTCCTCTCGCCCAAGAAAGGAGATCCCAATTGATTGTAAAGAAATTACCAAAATACATATTCCATTACTCAACTTGGTCAAATGTACAATATTCTCCACCTTTGGTTACTATGAGTTAAATGGCATCTTAACCCATTAACTGACGATGAAAATGACTTATAACCTGGAATCACTTGAAATCCAACTCAAATTACAATGTTTTTATGTGCAAATTGAAAGTATAATGATTTAAGATAGTTCTAGACTAAGGGTTTTTGGCTTGCATCATTATAACATATAAAAAAAATTATACAAACCATCTGCTGTTATTAACAAAAAAATCCCAAAAAACATAACCATTACCTTTGACAAAAAAGGCTAACATCAGGGGCAACTTCTTTCCATGGTGCATGCACATATTGTTGTTGACAAAACACATAAGCTATCGTTCGTTTCTTCCTGTTCTTCAGTTGAGGGCGGAACGTCAGATTAAAAGTTCTCTAAAATTTTGAGCAGGGACAACAATATGAGGTGGGTAAGGATTCATGAAAAGACATATCTGAATAACAATCAATATATTAGATGTATGAAAATGATATAAAGCAAAAAAAAAGTGAAAGAAACTTACCATTCCTCCTGCTGCTGCAGCTGAAGCAAGATGCAGTATGACACAAAAAAAGGAAAATTGTAAAATACACTCAATCTTTATCAGCAATGCATGATTGTAAGGGTATTAATGTAGATAAAGGTTATAAGTTCTAAAATCCTAATGCAGAGTTTCATAAATAGGGAAGGAATATAGTGTATTTAAAAAATGGAATAGTGTATTTAATTCTGATAAAAATACTTTAACCGTGTCTGTAATCTGAAAAATGTAAGGCACCACACTGAAAAAAATCAAAAACCCCACTTGCCTGTGGCCAAAGGGTCTTACGAATTGGCAATTTTATTAGATCAACACACATACACCTTTTTGCCTTTATTTTCCCATTTCCTTCAGCCTCTGTGTGAATGCTGATAATTGTTGGGTTTTTAGATGGAATGTAAAGCTGCTAAACAAACAGAGAAGGCAAGGGCAAAACAGTCAAAGAAAAATGGCTACCACGTTAACAGTAAAAAAAATGACAATAACCCACATTATCACAAATGTATAAACTAATGCAATATGAAACATATCATTATCTTAGGTTTCTACAAATGCAAATGATGGAGCATTGTATAAGAACTCACAATTTGGTTCATCAGGAGGATAATTTTGGTAATTTTCAGCTTGTATGATCTGTTTGAGATGTTACCTATGTCTCCCTCTAGCTTGGCCTTTTGGATACATCTCGTACATCTGAATCTTTTTAAAACAAAGGAAGTCAAAGAGCCAACCTAAAATTTAGCATGAGTTAAAACATGGTCTAGTCATAGGAAACAACGTAAAGCCTTCTATAGAACATGATGTAGCTAGAGGAAACAACCCAAAGTCTTCTATGATTGCTTACAAATTTAAACTATAATGAATAAAGCAGCGACAATAAGCACCAACAAACCTAAAATCTAGTCACTTCTCTCGGTCATTTTATCAAACATGTCGTGTGCCTTTCCTGCAATCATTCTTTATGCAGAAATCACAAATGGAAAATCAGTTATAATCAAATCCCCAAAAACTGATCACAAAGGTTTACAAAATACACGAAATTAAAAAAAAGGAAGCCAAATTCATTTGGCGATTGAATACGGAGATGAAAAATAGGAAAGCAACCCCAAATAGTAAAGGGCAACGGTACCTGGCTGATTAAACATCTGTGCACTTGAAACCACATCATAAACCCAAAACTCAACCCTAACGATAGCTTATGTGGCCCTGGTATGATCGAATTTCTATTACAGGAAGAAACGAAGGATAGCTTATGTGGCCCTGGTCTGATCGAAGCTGAAGCGGCGAAGCCATTGGAAGAGAGGAAGGGCAAGAAGAAACTGTAACAAAGAAACAAATAGAAAGATGGATTAGTGGATGTTAACATAAATACGGTTGAAGGACCTATGACATTAGAGTCGAGGAAGAAGCAGGAAACAACACAGAAAAAATGAAAGAGAATAAAGAAATTACCTTAAAGTG